CCTCCTTAGATTAGATGCATGGAGTCATGATACTTACATATAAACAACGGAAGGAATATTTTATGGCACACATAGGTTCAAATAGCTAGTTAAACAAATTATATAAACTGGGCAAAAATGAATTAAAATTATGGAAAATTAAACAAAGTTAAAACAGAATACAAAATTAAAAAATACACTTGTGTGATAAATTAATTCAGAAAACTAAAACAATGAAAATATATAAGATATAAAAATTAAAGTCTTTATGCTCTAAAATAATCCCACATAAGAAACAAGACTGAACGTAAATTGAAATTACACAAAACATAAAATACAGGATTCACTGTTAAAAGTAAAAAATCTCAACAAATGTTTATTATGTCAGCTTAAAGTTCTGAATAAACTGGAAATAAGGAACAGAGTAAGTATAGGAAAATAAAGAGAGTCATGATAAAGTAAAACTGCATGGATTGTTTCATAATTTTGGAAATACAGTTTTATTATAACATTCACTTAATTACTACTCAAAATAAATAAGACTTAATAGACTAAACTGTCTGAATCTTAACAAACCCCAAAATTATTACAAGTTAAAACTTAAATGCATAACATTGATTTTAGCAATGTCTAAGATTATACAATAACATTTAGCATTAACTCAAAAAGGGTTTGGAAGTGAAACTGAATACACATTCAAATAAAATTACAGACAAAATAAATTGGAATTGAGCTTGAGTAAAATCAAACAGGTTAAACAAGATAAACACTTTCTGAACAGGCAGAGATTCACTTATGTCCCTTGTTCTTTTCATTCTCACACTTAAAAAACTGAACTAAATTGCAAGAAACTTGGTACACACTTTCTGTAAAGTATTTGAAAACTTAAGTTATTGTGTGTATAATGTTTTAGGTTGTCGAAAATTCCATGGATATCAATTGAAATTGAAATTTTTCAATACTGAATCTATCGAAATATTTGATTTCAACTATCTTTATACGTCTAATCTTACATGAAATCAGTGAAGAAATTGATCCTTCAATAACGCAGGTAAATTAATTATTTGTATAAGTGCTACTAAATGTTTTTTTTTATAACACTCATCATAAAAACTACCACATTTTTACGCTGAACAAATTCAAACAAGAGATTTTGTTATTTTTACTTAAAGACACATTCGTACGATTCAGTTCACACATCTTTAAATAGACACAAGACAAACGATGGATGATACCTTCATGACGCAAATGACATACTTATTTATTTACTTTTTTAAAACTTTGAATATCAATACATTACATAGATTCTCAAGAAAGACTACCACAATGCTTTAAAAATTAAAAGAGCATGCAGATACATCTACGACATAGCATTACCGAACCTATCGAGTTTTCTTGACATAGCTAAGCATATCTACAAGACAGATCTAGTACTTGAAAAGTATTCAGCTAATGCAACTGATACACACTACCTCAATTTAAACATTACTGTTATATATCAAACATTTTCCTTCAAGGTTTATAACAAAACAGAAGATTTTAATTTTTATGTTATAAATTTCTCATTCCCCAACATAAATATCTCAAACAAAATGTGCTACATCATATATCTATAACAACTCACTATTTGTTGTAATTTGGGAGATTTTATAGACAAACCTCAAATATTAACGTATTAACTTCTGAGTAGAGGTTCTTCTTTCAACAAATTACACAAAGTGCTTTTAAAATTTTGTTGTAAACAATATATCTTTTAACTGTAAAGTAAAACATTGACCATTTTGCCACTCTTCCTACAATCTTCAATAATGATATTAATAGCTATTAAGTATGCATATTTTATTTATCCTAGCCTAATATATTCTAACACAAACCAAAGCCTACCGTTCTACCTTTCAAAGTTATCATTTTATCCAACTCTAACATAAGTTATTCTGTGTCAATATTTTCCAAGGTCGTTGATTCAGTATAAATCACGTAATTAACGTTGTCAATACAGAATATAGGTAACTTTCTTCATCATAAACCTATATACGTGCCTAAAGATTTCATCTTTCGCACTTATTATCTCATTCAAGTCCATCAAAAATTACGCTGGGTCAATCGTTTACCACGTCATGGTCGTGTACTAAGTATAAATCACGTAATTAACATAGTCAATACAGAATATAGGTAACTTTCTTCATCATAAACCTATATACGTGCCTAAAGATTTCATCTTTCGCACTTATTATCTCATTCAAGTCCACCAAAAGTTACGCTGGGTCAATCGTTTACCACGTCATGGTCGTTTATTACGTATAGATCACATAATTAACATAGTCGCTATAGGATATAAATAACTTTCGTAATACTAACCCTTACACCAACACAAGTGTAAGCATTTAACACACCAGGTCAATGAGTAACTTCCATGCCGGCTTATCTTCTTGGGCATTAGTCGGTCTTTATTTATTTGGCCCGATTATTGAAAGTATGTAGTTTTCTCGACCCCCCCCCCCCCCATCTACATTTTTTGGCATTTGCTTTATTTATCCCAACCATGGCATTCGATTTATAGATCCACGCCTC